ACCTTAACTTGCCCGCAGCCATAATAAATATTTTTCTGGCTATGGCCATAGCAACAGTCAGCCGATCCACTGGAAAAATTTTCCGTAAAAGGAAGATTTTTTGAAGTTGCGCAGGCCGCCTTTATTGTGCGACCGCACGAAAAGTTTCAAGCTTCAGATGTCCAAGAAGACTGAAAAGATTTCATTTAAAATGTTTGTCTTATTGATTGATTAATTGAGTTTTATAAACGGGGTTTGTCCGTATAAACATCACGGAGAGTGATTCTCCAAAAAAGAAAAAGAAAAAGAAACAGAAAAGAAACGCCGGGGAATATTTCAACGAACAAAAATGTGTTGCTGGCAAGGTGGCAAGGAAACAGGAAATATCGAAGAGCTTGTCAGTGCTTTCTATACGGGCGGGAGGTATTCTACAAATTTTTATACGGTGAGGATCCGCCCCGAGGTCCAACCTCTTATCTTACCCTTTTGTATACCATTTTGACAGAAAAGTTACCCCTTTTGAATACCTTTTATTGAGAAAAGGTACCTCTTTCACGCACTTAGTTAAGAACACTGCATCAGGCTTCTCTAAACCCTTGGAATGAAGTTAATGAACAACACTCCGGGAGAACATGAAGCATTACCAGAAGAAACGTTAACCAAAAATGGAAGTATGGTCGAGTAGGGAGCAACCCCAGGGGCGTTAAGGCGGAAACTCCCACTAACGTGAAGAGTCCAAGAGAAAACGGCATAAACAAGGTTGAGTGCTGTTTTCGTTGTTGAAAATTTGAATTTTATTAAGAGAATAATACTCGTTGTTGGGAAAGCTGTTCGAGATAACCAGCTGATCATGTGCGAAAACATCCACTTAAGCCAGCCTCTACCAAACAGATCTCACAAACAACTCTCTCAGCTCTGTGATCATCCTTATTTTCGCAATATCAACCACACAACACACGACTTTGAAACGATAACCACGCAACACGCGACTTGAAACACGGACACTTAGCTACAGGAAAGGCTTTGTGTAACCAGCCATCCCTGAGCACGTCAGAAAAACACTGGGATTTGGTTATTTCCCGTATATAAATAACACTAGAACTCGATATATAAACAAATTCGCCACCAAATAAACTGAACAGTCCGTTCTCAACTTTGTTGAATTTATAAAAATTCACCTGGAAACAATTGAAACATTGATATTCATTTCGTGCACACATCTTACTCCAGACGCGTAGTTTGCCAACTATATATTTAATGGCTGAATGCAATCATTTTAATTCAAAACTTGCGTTGTATTATCTCACACTCTATTTTTAAAAACAATACCTCGTACGTGTCAATTAAATCTCTTCTTTCGTGCGACTCACATGGCTGAGTTTTCCTAAACAAGGTCAAGGTAACAGTCACTCATAGTGGCAAGAACACGCATACAGTATTTTTACAATTATTAAACCTAATACATTTTTAATTTTGTTCAGTTTGGAAGGGGGCTAGACAAAGAACTCAACTATATTTTCTCGACCTAAGAACTTGTTCTTTTACAGTCAAGAATATTTTCACATGTTACGCGAGTAGTGTGTTTTTTTTCCAAATGCGTGACGGCTACTTATTTATGAAAATTTATTCTTTTGGCTATTGGCTGAATTAAACGAAAGTTCCTCGACCGAGGTCACGATACTTTTCATGTCACGGCTATTTTTATTCCGTTTTAAAGTAAGCATTGCACGCAGGCTGAAAAAATGCACGAATTCAAAGAATCTGTCAGCGAGTTAAAAGACACTTCCATTTTTGGCTTAATATTTATCCGTCTTTCAATTCCTTTTTAAGCTTCTCATTACTTGTTAGTGTATTACTTTTAACATTCAGTAAACGACTTTTTTTCCGAGGCTTCCCTCGACAAACTGGTCACTGAATTTTTGGCATCGCAAAAAAAAGAAAAAACTAGGTATAATAGCAATTACTTATCCAGTTTCAGCAAGAGACCATGGTCATGATCTCTTGGTTTCAGTTAGAACTGAAATTAAAATTTAAAGAGGGTGCAACTTCTCACCATGTTTCCCTTTAAATACACACCTCTAAGTGATTCCTATAACTTGTTTCGTTGCCAATTTAGATTCAGGTTGTTTTTTCTTTATTAATTTATATTTTTTGAGCAACGAGCCAACTATCTCAGCAATTTAATAAACTATGTGAACAATTTGAACTGTTTTTCGCGTTCTGTTGTCACATGAATTTGGCGATGCTATTTACAGTATGTTGTGTAATACTGGTCTGATTCAGCTACATATTTTTTTGTCGGTATCCCCCGCGTAACCAGCACCACCCGCCTTGGGTCAACTGAAGGAGCAAAAAAGAAATACAAGCTGTGTTTTTTCAAGTTTTCTTCCCTGGAGAAACACGCTCCGCTGACTACAACAGTCTTCCGTGATCAGACAAGAAGTATTCGGATAAATGGCTAAACTGTCAATTAATATTTATAAATTGAAAATATTTTTGTGAAGTTACGCTTTAAAGACAAAACATACTTTTCTCGCCCATACGCGCGAAAGATATACATTTATGGTTTGTAAATATTGAAGTCCAGTTTAACGCTCTGATGTACGTAACGGAGAAGAGGAAGCCGATTCTACATTTATATAGATTTCTTCTTTTTCGCCGACTCCTGCCCTTCAGAGACAATCGATAATTACTTCACGTATTCTTTGCTTTCGGTGTTTTTCTTGTCTACGAACTGTCACTTGAGATTAAACATTTGAGCATAGCGCGAGTCAATTCGCTCAGCTTGTGTTAACAAGCTTCCTTAAACAGAGTGAATTAAGACACGTAATCAGAAAACCAGAGACACTTTTCTTCGTGGCTTCTTGACAATTTAATTACAAAAGAAAATATTACGAATTTTACATACAAAATTTATCCTCTCCTCTTGAAACTTTACAACATTACAACTGTAGTATTTACATAGTTTTTTTTTCCAAACATTTTACTCTTGAAACCCCAAAATTATGATGTTCTTTTCGTCAATCTTGGCGTGGGCTGTTGGACATATTATTTACAATCTCTTTACATATTACGTTACCCTCGTTGACCCTTTTGTCTAAAAAAGACTCCTATTTACAATTCAGTCACGTCTCAAATCTTTCAACAAATGCAACTTGATTTTGCATTGGATATGATCATGAAAGCGAAAAACACAATCACGTTTACACTAGATAAAAAAGCATCGATAGACTTCACCTATTTGGAGAACGTAAAATATTGAAAGTTCTCTTTAAAAAAATGATCATAATCTTGTAAATAATTTACATTTTGTTGTCGGCTTAAGATATGGATAGATAAATTAAATAGTTTCTCTACGTTTTGTTTTCTGGAGTTCCTTCTTTGCAAGTAAAATAAATTAAATTGATATATTGGGTTCTTTCGACTACAAGGGTGGTGTTCATCCTCGAATTTTCATCTCCATCGCTGTCAGTTCTAACAGACATTTTGTCAATTTCGTCATGCTCCTCAAAATGTAGCTTTCACACTGGAATTAAACTGGATCTTCTCTGCTCTGTTACGTTCAATTCCTCAGAGAAACTCTCCTGGATAACTGGCATCATTCGCACGTTTCTCGGCTTCCTTTTCATTTTCATTACCGGTTTTTCGCTTTCCAGATCAAAGTCTCTCAAAACTTTCAGCCATTCTTGCCTCTCGTCAGGAGTTTCGGCAGTAAAACACAACAGTCCTGTCGACGATCCAATTCGCTCGCCTTGCGGTGTTAAGGTGAACGAGCCGTCCTTGTTTTCTGTAACAGCGCAGGATTTCAATCGAAGGAATGCGACCGGTTTCTTCCAAATCCAAGCCGAATCTCTGTAAAATACGATGAACGGGTCGGAAACTCTCGTGTAAGCCACAGCCATGAGCCTGACGTGACGATTTTGCTGCGGGTCTGAAGCCAGCAACAAGTAACCACTCTTGGTCGCGGACATGTTTTGGTTCATATTTCCTCGCGTTGAACTTTCTGAAGTGACTGGCGCAAGTCGTACGATTTTATAAACTTCACCTCCAATAAACAGATTAGTGAAAGGAAAGAAACCAATACCACAACTGAACTGAACATTCAATGACCCATGGCATTCTTTTTATTGCTCATGAGTCATGATAGGAAGTGACGTAAAGTCTTTAATAAACAAGCAACCAAGCGGAATAAATTTGATGTTATTTTCCATTTCCGTTTTATGACGTCAGGCGTTGCCATGACGAAAACAAAGTGATCTTTTGTACGTGTTGCGTTACTCAGAACACATCTTTCACGTTGCATCTCGAAACCTCTGAATCCATTGGAAATCTATTTCTGTTAAAGGGCGTTTGAAGGCTTGTTTCTTGATTTCATCGAATTCCTAAACGTTTTTCGACCAATTTAGCTGACCTTTTAACTTGTGTAGGCAAACACCACGCGCATAAAGCCCGGAAAATAGATCGTGCTTTCGGCAGGAAGTGGGATAAATAAGTTGTGTCATGACTAATTTATACGCGATGTGACTAAAGATGCTTTTAAGAAAGGAAAACGTCAAAACCATTTCTTCCTCTTGTTTATATGTTGATGCTATATTTTGTGTGTTATTGTTTGTCGTCAGTCAGTGCGGAAAACGTGCTAGCTTAGAGCCCAGAGACAAACAAGAAGTTAAGGAATCTATTTTAAGTACTAAAACTCGTAGGATTATCTTTCAAGAGTATTATTCGAAAAAGAAGGAAGTCATCAGTGGAAAACAGCTGCTAAACACGTTTCGCCTTTTATTAGCACTGATTAAACTGAAAAGCAATCTACAGAAGAATAAGCTTACGTCATAATCAAGAACTACTTGCGAAAGCGGGGAAAGACCTTGGAAATCAACAAGACAGCTGAAAGTTTTGATCAAAAATACTGAAATGACGTGGGAAGACTAATTTGAAATCTTCCTGTTGGTGTTTCGTTCAGCTTGACATTTTTTTTAAGGGCCTTTGTTTCAGCATCGATGATTGCAACCTTATAAGTATATGCCTTGATATCAATTCGCCATTTATAGCAGGACCGTACTGTTTAATTAGCCACAAATTTTAACTGTTTCTGCCTTGCACGATACTTACGTACTATCAATGGACAGATCTATAAAAGCTGACACAAGACCTCGTGCGAATGACAGGGGAAATAAAAAAGTTAATTTTAGGTTTTCTCGTCCATTTTTCTTTCGGACAGACAGTCAAAACTGTCACCAATGGAAAACAAAACATCGCAAGGCGAGCAGAAGATATCATGTTGAAACGTTCGCCACGTAAAACACGAAACTGAAATTATAGCAGTACTCCGTCACTCTAAAGAGCTGAAAGCAGATAAAACTGAAAGGCGATCTTTTTACATCACTATGGGAAGAAAGAAACGAAAGTAAACTACAACGTTCTGAAGTCACCTCGACTCCATTATGAAGTAGAGAAAAGAAAATAACTCTTTTAATTAGACCGTGTTACACGTTAATATACTCTTACACCATTCACACTATAAATTAACATCTCGACAGTTAGTTTCTTTTCTCTAATTGATAATGGTGTCAAGATGACTTCGAAACGTCCTAGCTCAGTTCTTTTCGCAATCCATTGTATGTCCAAAAGTTATCTTATAGGAAGAAAGCCCAGATCGGACAGGTCTCCGATAAAAGATGTTGGACAAAATAACAAGTTAAGTTTATTCTGTTATGTGATACGGAATTAAAGCCTTAGATCCTTTCTTTTGAAATGTATCTCAACAGTCATAAAACAAAATTAACTTCAAAATGTTTTGAGCATTTGTTGCGACGCAGCTGAATTGGCTTCCACGAACCCATGTTTTTATAAACATTGAATAAGGAAAGTGAATTAGTTTTTGTTACCAGATGGCCAAGACAAGTTCGAATGGAGAACGTTTTCCTGCTAGTATTGCAACACAGCTGTATGGAGAAAGTTGAAGCTGTGAAACAATTTCAAGTAATATCTTTCTCTTCAAACAAAATTGTTATGGTCGATATTCGAGTTTTGATCGGAGGACGAATTGTGACATCTGCGCTGTTTGTGCTGACGGGAAAATTTGGCGGAAAATCACCCGCGTAGGTCAGGAGCACGTAAAATCGCGCCAAAACGTCTAGAAATTATAATGTGACGGAGATACACTTAGCCGCAAGTCAGCCTAACTACTTCAATAATATTATGCCTTGCGTTGTTCACGATAATCCGATATTGAACTTCGCTGAAATTTGATTAAGACCACTTTTACTGACATCTAAAATCATCGGCTTGCATTGGTGATTGTTTCATGTGTCGGGAGATTTAAAGCGAAGTGAAACTTGTAAAGGCAGCTTTTACGCAGTTTTGATGCTATTCTCTTGTACCTTCGTAGATCATTTTAAGCTTATTCACTCTTATAAAATTTATTTTCGTAGCAGCCACAAAAGGAAATTTAGGCATTGCAATATTGGGTCTCAGGAAGATACTCGACAAGCGTCACTAAAGCTGAAAACACTTGATATTTACCGGCGTTTTCACCTGGTTGAAAACAATCCCTGAACATTTTATTCCGTGCCTGTCGTCAGTTTTTTTCTTTATTAACAACTGTAAACATTTTAATACCTCTAACAGACCCGAGAGTCCCTATCGTAGGAGGTTACACCTTCAATGAAACACTGCACTGCCTTTCGTAATAAAAAGAGGTCCACCGAAACCAAAAATTAAACCATGATGATATTTTTCTAATAAAGCTTTAACTGGTGACTCTTTTTTACTATCCAACCGCTCTCGGTGGAGTACAGATAGCGCGAGAAACGAGCACAGACATCCCCACGGTACTTGTTCATCAGCGCAAAACACAGCTGAAAGTTTGGTTTTCGGGAACGAAGAACGTTGGACTATCTGAAATCTCTTATCAGGCATCATAGTGTGTAGTCTCGATGCCCATTTCTACGAGTTCATCATTTCAGTGTATTTAGACTTGCCGTTCGGGCTTATCAAACTACTGAAAGACTCGTAAAAATACACTGTAATATTACACACTAAAATGTCTAAAAGACGTCTTTAATGGCCACATTATCACAATGCGTGAAGGGTGCAAGAATATATTTGCGCCAGGTTAGACGTAATACAAAAAGAACTAAAAATATTTGCCTTCTTTCCGAGTTGGCAAATTTGACGAAGTGAGAGGCTCTTGATACAAAACACACGAATCTTCTTGACTAATAAGATTGTTGTTTTAAACTTTTAATGCGCAATTCAAACAACACGTTAAGCCAATATTGCTGATGTAAAACGCACGTGCTTCTTATAACGGCTCACACCCACCGGCGACGCTACGACGTCTTCGCTCCGCAATACTGAATGAAAACAAGTTTCGGATACACAAGCATGCAGAATTAAATTCAAATGCAATGTCAAGGGCAAATCTACACTGCGAAACGGCGAAACGTGATTTCGGTATGAGTTTTGGCGCCAAAATGCACCCTGTGACGCAACCAAGCAAAAATGCGCGATTAGTCAGAAGAACTAGGGCAAGTTCTCAATGCTGTTACAGCGTTCTTGCAAGAGATCTGAAGTACACAATCTCCGGTAACTTTCGTTTAAATTGCTTGCAGTTATTACAAAGTGCGACTGAAAAAATGTTTCTTTTCTCTTGCGTTCCGTGAGCTCGATAAACTCAAAAAAGGAATGGAGAAGTATTCAGAAGCGGAGCACCTGTCAGAAGACACGAGTGTGGTTACCACAAGTTATACAACTGCTTTTAATTAATAAATATTTGCCGCAGTATAATAAATCTTGTGCTAACGTGTAGGAAATTCAAACAACTCTTTCACCTTGCTTCCGTTTGTTATATTTTGTTCCGTTGACGTGATGAAATGTGTTTTCTTTGTTCGAGTTAATTTCCCATTGCGAGAGATATTGTCTTCTCATTTATTTGATATTTTTGTCTCTTTTAGATCAATAAGAGGAATCAGCCGTTTTTCGGTCTAAACACTGGCACAATATTTGCCATATTTTGTCTCGGCCAGTAACATATTGCTGTACCACCTCACATTAATGTACCCAAATTTTCCCGTTTCTCTGGTTCCCGATTTTTCCCGGTCAGTATTATTTGACTTGTTTCAAGTAAACTTGTTTCTACATTTTCTTGTGTTTTAGCATTTTTACTTGACTTATTTTTTGAGTTGCTTACTGCGGCTTGCGGTCAAAAATTCCAAGGTTTACTTATCTGCGTATATATGGCCATTAGCATGCGTCCGTAAAAGACAAAACGGATTTTTAAGCTTTGTGAATGAAGACAGAAAAACAACAAGATGTGTTTCAAATCTTGGTCACGTACGCTTTTTACTGAAGTGGTACATCAGTGTACAGTCAGACACTCTCGAGAACCCCGGGAATATAGACGGAAAAACATTCGTCCCATTTTTCGGTCAAATTGGTCAAGACCGAAGCACAATCTCATCACTGTGGCCTGGCCTTTGGCGCCAAAACGCACGTGTTTGTTTTACGGTCGGCAGTTCTTTACGGAACTGACCTACACCAATACAAGCGTGTCTACATGAATGGGGTTTATAGCCTGAGACCTGAAAATTGCTCAATGACGCATTTTTATGATAGCTGTGACTTAGAATATGGAGAATTTAATGATAGTTGAGAAATGGGCTGTAATTTTAACTGACGGCTGAAATGAGAAAATATATCTGAGAATTGAGACGTTATTATCAATAGTGTTCGTTAGGCAAGATTATGATAATCAATATTCGACTGAAATTAAAAAGAACTAAGTAAACTCATTTTTTCAACGAGAAATTAGGAAGCAACCATTTCAGTGGCGGAAAAAATTTGGCGGGAACACACTCGGTTATATATACCAAAGCCATGCAGAGCGGGCGCACTTAATACCGT